CGCGCGCTCGCCCCTGAGCATAGGAGGGCCCTCCCTGCCTCCGCCCACCGAGGACAGGATCGCTCGGAAGGAGGGACGCGCCGACCCTGTTCGGCAGCCATTGGCTGGCGACCGTCGTTTCCCACGGCCGTGCATAGGATCCCAGCCTGGTCTCAGCGCGAGGCGGCTGGGCAGTGGTGGTCATGGGCCAGGACAGCGAGGCCGTCAGCTTATGCGGGCCACTGCCCTGGCCCTATCCTCAGGAGTCGGGCGCGGCAGAGCTTTGCGCGGCGATCGAGGGCATCCAGAACTGCCTACCACCCATCAGGATCTTTACGGACTGTCAGCTGCTCGTCGACGGCATCGCTGCTGGCAAGGCTTGGTGGCTACAGTGGCAGCGGCCGTGCAGGGAGCTCTGGGTTCGCTTCTGGGCGGTCATCCACGACGTGGGCCTCGACAGCCTGTCCGCCCACAGGGTGAAGGCGCACGCGACGCTGGCGGTCGTCCAGGCCGAGCGCATCACGGCGTGGGATCGCCGTGGCAACCACCGCGCACATGCGCGCGCCAGCGACGTGGCCCGCATGCACCCGACCGACGACGCCCTCCGCCAGCGGAGCGTCCGCCAGGATCGGCATGTCAGGAAGGTCTTCCGCTGGCTGGGTGCTGCCATGCAGGAGGGCGACGCCGAGCTGACGGCCGAGGGCGGCCATGAGGGGCAAGGCCCTGATGAGGTCCGCTGTGACTGGCGGCGTTGCAAGCTGCGTTGGCGGAACCAATGTGCGTTCCCCGACTGCCCAGGGAGGGATTTCGGACGACATGGCACGTGGCTGGACATCGACGGGGGCACCATCTGGGCGTGCCTTGAATGCGCGGGGCGCGGCGAGGCTATCTCGGGCTCCTGCGCCGCCGGTGGGGCGTGGGGCTCAGGGGCGGTCTCGGCGGCGGCGGCGCTCCTCGCAGCGGGTGCAGCACTGCTTTCCAGCCAGGCCGGCGGCTCGCAGGCCGACGCGCCAACAGCAGGAGGCCAAGGGGACGATGGCGGTTCAGCGGCCGACGGAGTGACTGCTACCAGCGGGGGGCGCGACGCCAGCGGCGCCCAGGCCGCGACAGCGGCGCAGCGGTGGCAGCCAGCCGCGCAGCCGCCCCTTCCGCCACCGCCAGCGTTGCCACCGTGGTGGGGGATCGACACCCACCATTCTCACGAGCTGAAGAGAGCGGGCGAACAGCTCTTCTACGCCAGGTGTGGCTAGTGGACGCAGAGCGCCAGGATGGCGGGGCTCGCGAAGACGTGCCCACGGGCCCCGAATAACGACGGGCAGCAGGCTGTGTTGGAAAGGCTGAAGCGTGGCCTGCAGCCAGCGGGGAGGGGCAACATCGGCGACCCTGAGCCTCTACGGCGCCTGCGCAGACGCGTGGGCGGAAAGTCCGCGCCCGCGCACTTTCTTCTGCGGACCTGGAACTATGTGCGTAGGCTCGCTGACGCACGGGTTCGGGTCCGATGCCCTCGGCAATGCAACCGGTCCAGAGTCGGTCAGGAGCTTAAAGGACGAGTCGCGCTGCTGATGGCTAGGTGCGTCGCCCGCAGCGTGCATGGCCTTAGCTCGTTGCGCGCTGCTTTCCTTCGCGCAATTCGCTCTGAGCGGAATCTGAACCAGATGCGTAGGTTCGCTTGCACCTCCGGTGCTGCGGCAATGCAACCAGTCCGTCATGGTCAAGTGCCTAGGGGGCGAGTTGCGCTGCTGTCGGTGAGGTGCGTTTGTCTGTCCAGTGTGCATGGCCTCGCTCGGTGCGCGCTGCCCTTTTCGCGCCGCGGGCGCTCTGTGCGGAAGTCGAACCAGGTGTGTAGGTTCGCTTGCACGTGGGGTCGGGCTCCGATGTCGGTGGCAGAGTGACCAGTCCAGGGTTTGGCTTGGAGTCTGCGGGACGAGTTGCTTTGCTGATGGTGAAGTGCTGTCCAGCCGCAGTGTGCGTGGCCTCGCTCGGTGCACGCTGTCTCTTTCGTTCCTTGCGGCCCGTGCCGCGGAGGAGGTTGCCAGTCTGTATGGCGCGGGGCGCCGCTTCGTGCCGCCCAGGGGTGAAGGTTCGCCCTCGCTTTGCCGCGAGGCGCGTCAGTGCACGACGCTCTAGCCCGCCGCCGTGCTCGAGCTGAAACCGAACCAGGTGTGTAGGTTCGCCGACGCACGGGGTCGGGTTCCGATGCCTTCGGCAATGCAAGCAGTCCAAGGGGCCAGGAGGGGCGAGTTGCGCTGCTGATGGGGGGGTGAAATCGCGCGCTGGCCTATCGCTGTGGTCGTTCTCGCGCGTTGCCCCGCCTCATTGTAGCTGCTGTCGCGCTTTTGCGCGACGGCGAAACCCGCCCCTCAGCGTTGATGTGGAGGGCGAACCGTGAGCGCAGTTCTACCTCGCTCTGGATCTCTCTGCTGGTCTGAGGAGGAACCGTGTCTGTGTGGGGATGGCCTAGCGCCAAGGGCAGGTTGCTTCTCAGGTGCGGTGTGCAGCCACGCTGCGTACCAGCCCGCTGGATCGAGCAGCTGCTGCCCGGTGCTTGTTGCCGAGTGTGGTTGGTCGCTTTGACTGCTCGGATCGGTCGCCATCTGTCGTCTGCTGCTTCCGCAGGGCCAACATGAAACGCCTCGGTCCGGGGGGCATTGCGAACAGGGAGCTCGTGACCTTCTCTTAAACGCGTGGATCATCATCACCATCGTCGTCATCAGCAGCATCATCTTCACCACCACCATCACCAGCAGCATCAGCACCAGCATCAACATCAGCACAAACATCAGCATCAGCCTCAACATCAGCATCAACATCGGCATCATCATCAGCATTCGCCTCAACGTCGTCGTCGTCGTCGTCTTCGTCGTCGTCGTTAAAAGAACCCGCTGCGGCGTTCCCGCGAGGAGGCGTGCCCAGATGACCGCCGCGCATCGGCCGCACCCGCCGCCGCAGGCGCCGCGCGCCAGGGGGTGGGCCTCTTCCGCGCTTTTCGGAGGCCTCCAGAGGCCTGCCGGGGCTTCTGAAGGATGATGATGATGATGATGATGATGATGATGATGATGATGATGATGATGATGATGATGATGATGATGATGATGAGAATGATGATGATGCTGATGTTGATGATGATGATGCTGATGATGGTGATGATGATGATGATGATGATGATGGTGATGGTGATGATGATGATGATGGTGATATGATGCTGATGCTGATTATGATGATGATCATGATGATGATGATGATGATGATGATGATGATGATGATGAGGATGCTGCTGCTGATGATGATGATGATGGTGATGATGATGATGATGATGATGATGATGATGATGATGATGATGATGATGATGATGATGATGGTGGTGGTTGTGGTGGTGGTGGTGGTTGTGGTGGTGGTGGTGATGATGATGATGATGATGGTGATGATGATGAGGAGGAGGAGGAGGAGGAAGAGGAGGAAGAGGAGGAGGAAGAGGAGGAGGAGGAGGAGGAGGAGGAGGAGGAGGAAGAGGAGGAGGAGGAGGGGGGACGAGGAGGACGAGGAGGAGGAGGAGGAGGAGGAATAATAATAATAGTAAAAATAAAAATAATAAGAAGAAGACGAAGAATAATAATGATAAGAAGACGAATCATAGGAATAATAATAATACTAATAAGAATAAGAAGACGAACAAGAAGACGCATAATAATAATCACACAAATAATAATTATGCTAACGGAGTTCCCACATACAGAGATTAACGGTTTCGTGGGACCCATTTTCTTGATGCCCTCCTCGCTTTGGCGGGGCCCCGCTGGAAGGGGGGAGGGCTACGAAACCTGGCGAAGAGTAATGCTTTCCGCGACCCTCCTCGTTCAAGCGCGGCCTCTCTGGAGGAGTGGAGGGGGGACACGAAACCGTGTAAACAGCATGTTTTCCGATACCCTCCAGGAAGAGGAGGAGGAGGAGGAGGAGGAGGAGGAGGAGGAGGAGGAGGAGGAGGATAAGATGGATGATGGTGAAGAGCAGCAGCAGGAACCGCAGCAGGAGCAGCAGCGGGAGGTTGGTTTGAGTGGTCTCATTTTCCTCGTGAGGTCCGATTCGTGAGGTTGGTCTGAGTGGTCTCATTTTCCTCGTCCAGTCGAGGTTATACAAGAGGGTGGGCGACACGAGTTCGCTAGACGAAAGCACTAGCCGAGGTGCCTGGTAACTACAATTCGAACGCAGACACTGATAGGCTAAGTGCGGGTTTCCGATACCCTCCTCGCTCAGGCGGAGCCTCCCTGGAGAGGTGGGAAGGGCATGTAAATACACTGGTATGCCGATACCCTCCTCGCTCAGGCGGGGCCTCCCTGGAGGGGCACGAAACCGTGTAAATAGTATGGTATGCCGATACCCTCCTCGCTCAGGCGGGGCCTCCCTGCAGAGGCGGGAGGGGCACGAAACCTGGTAAATAGCATGGTATGCCGATGCCCTCCTCGCTCAGGCGGGGCCTCCCTGGAGGGGCGGGAGGGGCACGAAACCTGGTAAATAGTATGGTATGCCGATACCCTCCTCGCTCAAGCGGGGCCTCCCTGGAGGGGCGGGAGGGGCACGAAACTTGGTAAATAGTATGGTATGCTGGTACCCTCCTCGTTCAGGCGGGGCCTCCCTGGAGGAGCGGGAGGAGCACGAAACTTGGTAAATCGTATGCTATGCCGATACCGTCCTCGTTCAGGCGGGGCCTCCCTGGAGGGGCGGGAGGGGCACGAAACCGTGTAAATAGTATGAAATGCCGATACCCTCCTCGTTCAGGCGGGGCCTCCCTGGAGGGGCGGGAGGGCACGAAACCTGGTAAATAGTATGGTATGCCGATACCCTCTCGCTCAGGCGGGGCCTCCCTGGAGGGGTGGGAGGAGCACGAAACCTGGTAAATAGTATGGTATGCCGATACCCTCCTCGCTCAGGCGGGGCGTCCCTGGAGGGGCGGGAGGGGCACAAAACCGTGTAAATAGTATGTATGCCGATACCCTCCTCGCTCAGGCGGGGCTTCCCTGGAGGGGCGGGAGGGCCACGAAACTTGGTGAATACTATGGTATGCCGGTACCCTCCTCGCTCAGGCGGGGCCTCCCTGGAGGGGTGGGAGGGGCACGAAACCTGGTAAATAGTATGGTATGCCGATACCCTCCTCGCTCAGGCGGGGCCTCCCTGGAGGGGCGGGAGGGGCACGAAACCTTGTAAATAGTATGGTATGCCGATACCCTCCTCGTTCGGGCGGGGCCTCCCTGGAGGGGCGGGAGGGCCACGAAACTTGGTAAATAGTATGGTTTGCCGATACCCTCCTCGCTCAAGCGGGACCTCCCTGGAGGGGTGTGAGGGGTACGAAACTTGGTAAACAGTATGGTGTGCCGATACCCTCCTCGCTCAGGCGGGGCCTCCCTGGAGGTGTGGGAGGGGCACGAAACCGTGTAAATAGTATGGTATGCCGATACCCTCCTCGTTCAGGCGGGGCCTCCCTGGAGGGGTGGGAAGGGCACGAAACTTGGTAAATAGTATGGTATGCCGATGCCCTTCTCGCTCAGGCGGGGCCTCACTGGAGGGGCGGGAGGGGCACGAAACCTGGTAAATAGTATGGTATGCCGATACCCTCCTCGCTCAGGCGGGGCCCCCCTGGAGGGGTAGGAGGGGCACGAAACCTGGTAAATAGTATGGTATGCCGATACCCTCCTCGCTCTGGCGGGGCCTCCCTGGAGGGGTGGGAGGGGCACGTAACCTGATAAATATTGTGGTGAGCGGGTACCCTCCTCGCTCTGGCCTCCCGGGAGGGGTGGCAGGGGCACGAAATCTGTGGTATGGTATGGTACGGTATGGTATGGTGTGGTACGTATGGTGTGGTATGGTATGGCATGTGCGGTAGGTATAGTATGGTATGGTAGTCATGGTATGGCATGGTACGGTATGGTATGGTAAGGTATGGTATGTGCGGTCGGTATTGTATGGCATGGTGGGTATGGTATGACATGGTACGGAATGGTATGGTAAGGTATAGGATGGTATGTTAGGTATGGTATGGTGTGGTACGGTGTGGTATTGGTCAGAGAGTCCTGGTATGAGGACATGGAATGGTATGGTATAGGATGGTATGGTATATTACGGGTAGGGACATGATATGGTATGGTATAGTCTAGTATGGTATGTTATGGTACGGTATAATATGATATATTTTAGTATGTTATGGTATGGTATAATTAAGTTTGGTATCGTTTATTATGGTATTTGTATTAGTATGGATGGTATGGTATGGTTTGGTATAGTTTAGTATGGTATGTTATGGTATGGGATATGATGGTATAGTTTAGTATGGTATGGTATGGTATAGTTAAGTTTGGTATAATTTAGTATGATATTGGTATTGGTATGGTATGGTATGGTATAGCCTAGTATGGTATGTTATGGTATGGTACAGTTTAACACGGTATAGTTTAGTATGGTATGGTATGGTATAGCTTGGTATAGTTTAGTATGGTGTGGTATGGTATAGTTTAGTTTGGTATAGTTTGGTATGGTATAGTTTTGTATGGTGTAGTGGAAGGAGGGAGGAGGAGAAGGAGAAGGAGAGGGGGTTCTGGGAAAACAAGAACCCCACTCAGGATGTGGGGAATGAGAATAATACTAAGAAGAAGACGATTACGGATAATAATAGTAATACTAATAATAATAATACTAATTATGCTAACGGAGTTCCCCACATAAAGAGATTAACGGTTTGGTGGGAACCTCCTCGCTCAGGCGGGGCCTCCCTGGAGGTGTGGGAGGGGCACGAAACCATGTAAATAGCATGGTTTGCCGATACCCTCCTCGCTCAGGCGGGGCCTCCCTGGATGGGTGGGAGGGGCACGAAACCATGTAAATAGTATGGTTTGCCGATACCCTCCTCGCTCAGGCGGGGCCTCCCTGGAGGGGCGGGAGGGGCACGAAACCATGTAAATAGTATGGTATTCCGATACCCTCCTCGCTCGGGCGGGGCCTCCCTGGAGGGGTGGGAGGGGCACGAAACCATGTAAATAGTATGGTTTGCCGATACCCTCCTCGCTCAGGCCGGGCCTCCCTGGAGGGGTGGGAGGGGCACGAAACCATGTAAATAGTATGGTTTGCCGATACCCTCCTCGCTCAGGCGGGGCCTCCCTGGAGGGGTGGGAGGGGCACGAAACCATGTAAATAGTATGGTTTGCCGATACCCTCCTCGCTCAGGCGGGGCCTCCCTGGAGGGGTGGGAGGGGCACGAAACCATGTAAATAGTATGGTTTGCCGATACCCTCCTCGCTCAGGCGGGGCCTCCCTGGAGGGGTGGGAGGGGCACGAAACCATGTAAATAGTATGGTTTGCCGATACCCTCCTCGCTCAGGCGGGGCCTCCCTGGAGGCACGAAAACCACGTAAATAGTATGGTTTGCCGGATTACCCTCCTCGCTCATGCGGGGCCTCCATTGGAGGGGTGGGAGGGGCACGAAACCATGTAAATAGTATGGTATTCGATACCCTCCTCGCTCAGGTGGGCCTCCCT